GTTCGGGGTGCTGGCGAAGTTCCTCTATCCTGCCCGTTTTGAAGCGCGGTCCGAGGATTCCAGATTCAACGTGCATGCGAGCGGTGGGTGATCAGCCCACGAGGCGGAAAAAGCTTGAGTGGCGGGACCAGCACGTGCGGGTGCACCATCCGCCAACCACGTTTTGTTGTGAGAGGTTTGAGCGTGAGCAGTCCTGCGGGATCGATGCCGCTGGGCCAAGCTCAGCTGGTACACCCGCAGACTGTTGAAAAACAGTTCTGTGGGACTGATACCATTGGGCCCAGCTCAGTCAGTATACCCCCGGACTGTTGAAAAACAGTTTTGTGAGATCAGCCACAAGGCCAGGCTGAGCGGGTACACCCGCGGACTGCTGAAAGTAGGCCGTGGGACCAGCACCCGTGGGCATAGCACAGCTGGTACACTCGCAGGCTGTTGATAAACAGGCCTGTGGGACCAGCACCCGAGGGCATAGCTCAGCTGGTACACTCGCAGGCTGTTGAAAAACAGGCCTGTGGGGCCAGCACCCGTGGGCATAGCTCAGCTGGTACACCCACGAACTGTTGAAAAATAGTTTGTGGGAACAGTGCCACCGAGCCTAGCTCAGGTGGTACACCCACGAACTGTTGAAAAGCAGGSCCGTGGGACAGATGCCACTGGGCCTAGCTCAGTTGGTACACCTGCAGACTGTAGAAAAACAGTCMTGTGGGAACACCACCTGAGCAASCCSGGTTAGTATACCCACRAGCTGCTGAAATACAGATCTGAGCTCGARCTCCACYGAAGATGGGTGAGTGGGAGCTTGCGGTGCAAGCTGAAAYACCGCTGCTTTATTTTTACTTTTTTTTCTTAAATTTGTTTTTTTTATTTTTTTATTTTTTGTGAGGTGGAGCTGGGACTTTGCCCATGCCTCTCGGTCCAAGGTGCGGGTGCTCGTGGCCTACCTGATTCAAGCAAAAGACACTATCAGGTGGGGATTTTGGCCGAGTCGACACACACCTATACGGGCATAGCATAATTGTCCCGAAGTGAGTTCAATGTACATGCAAGCTGGTGGGTGCTTAGCCCGCAAGGTGAGAGAAATCCTAGGGGCAGAAACCCCTCGGTGTGTGCACTTTCAGCCAGCCACCACCTGCTAAAAAGTTGAGTATGAGCAAGCACGAAACCCGAGAGATGATAAACTATGCCTGAGTTGGGCTACAAGGCCAGAAGAAAACTGGCCAGAAGGGACTCGGGCGGGGGCTCGCAGCGATACAGGCGCGCAGATCGTCCGTCGGACTGTAATATAGGGGCAAACGACTGATGGGACCAGCCGACAGCTGATCCCCCTTTGAAGTAGCAGYTAATCCCCCCTCTGAAGCAGCGCATAGCAGGGCCGATGTACGAATTGTTCGTTCAGGCCCTAGTATAGAGGCGAAAGACTACCCAACCTGATAGTAGTCCGTTCTCTCTGAAGTTTCCGCCGGGGTAGCTGGGTCTTGTCAGATGGCATTTTTTGTCCGGACTAATTGAACGCTAATGAGCAGCGCTAGTGGGAAACGTGGGCACTAGCGGGAACGGCAACGAGGAAGAGGGTGAATGGAAGAGAGAAGAAGGGAGAAGGGGGGAAAGGGAGAGGACGGCGGAAGATGAAAAAGAGGGTAAGTAGTAGACAAGGGGAAGAGGAACAGAGCGGGGTAAAAGAAAGTGCATGAACATTGGCCGGGATCTAATCCAGGTACGTAAAGACAGGTACGGGGAAGTGACGAAGGCTGAAGGTGAAATGGGTATATGGCGGAAGCAAAAAAGTCATAACTTACCGATCTCTTGACGGATCAAGGCGGGATAAAGGACATGACTAAGGTTTTGAGGGAAGGCGAACTCGAATCTGCGGTAGGATTACGTAAAGAAGTAGAACAGGAGAAGTGAGAGTAGAAATTATGTGCGCGAAAGAGTCGGACGAAGGGGGGAGGAGATTGTGTAGCTCGTTCATTTCTCAATGAAATCAAGCGAGCAAGGAACCAAAATAGGGGTTTTCAGATGTTCTGAGTCAAGTGGCAGCGGCGGATTTTCAGTACAAACGACGGTTTCGCTTGCGCGGGGAGTAATGATGATGCACCTGCCCACATTCTAGTGGGAGATTCATTCTCACTATGTATGCTTATTGAGTGATAGGAAAGGAGCCAAGTCCTTCTGTCAGGATCCCGGTGTTGTTCATTGGCTGTTCTTTCTGTGCTCGTGCTGGTTCTTCACAAGTGGTCAAGAACATCCCATCTCGTCGAAGCCATCGTCGAAGCCGAATTTGCTGTCCTTGAATTTTGCTTCCACTTCGCCGTCATGAGAGCTCGTGTGCATACTGATTGGCTTCAAGGGCAATGATTGTGATCACGCAATCGGTGCAGTCTGTCGTTCCTCTCGACCGAGGTACAGTCCCTCCATATCCTCTCCCTTGCATTACTTAGACCACATGTACAACCCCAATCCGGCCACCTGCCCACCTAGTGCACATCGCCACCTAGGACGGCAAATACAAAGAAATATGACAGCAGTCAGGCTATTTAGGCCACATCTAGGGCACAGCGCCACACAGAGACCCTCTCTCACAGCAAGGTCCCAATTCCATGTCATTTTTGGCTTCTAGTCATGGATTTTGGAGATCGGTGATCCGAAATGGTTGTCAAAAGTCGGACGTTAAATACATGAACCACCGTGCACCGTACGCATGAGATAAACCGACCCGGTTCCACCCAACCAGACAATCCAGGTAATTGGGTCTTCACTGCCAGCGATAGGTCCCTGCAGTGAGTGGACCCATCGTCGCACCAGCGCGAGAAGCCCACAAAACATGTCCGCAACCAGTCTGAGCGAGATATTGGGGTCCAATTTCCGTTCATCTGATTGCATCTGGATTGGAACTCCGGTCTCTATTCAGGCACATCATTGGGGTGCCAATTGACTTACTGTGAGGGCACGGGTGCGCGGCCCCTAGTTTGTAGTCATTGCCAAATGGGGATAGAAGTCCCTACTTGCCGTTGATGTTGTGAAAGTGGCGCATGCATCTGGTCAGGATCACGGCCGGGTGCACTGAAAATAGAGGGAAGAAGAAGAAGAGACGTTTGACAAAAGAGAGGGAACGGGTGCGGCCCTGTTTCGATTTTTCGACCAAAGGGCCTCTGCCCACGCCGTTTCAGATTCGAAATTTGACAAGGCCCTGATGCCTCGGGCAGCTACCGGTCCTGCACTTGCTTGAACTGCCGCCCCCCCTTAAATGCCTGTGCCTTTCGTTTTACCAGCCTTTCAACGACCAACAGGCCCGAATGACCGGTATAACGAAGGAAAAGGACGACAACGAAAAAATGTCTCGGGGGGGAAAACGCAACCCTGACAGGCTGCAAACAAATGCCCCTTAGTGGGGCCCGATTTCGGTTAGCTGCCCTCGGTGTTGGACGTGGCCACGTGGCAAGCGCTGCATGCAGCCACATGGCAGGTGGTGGACATGGCCACGAGGACTTGCCACATGCCCAGTGCTTCCTTGACTTGCACAAGGGGTGTGCAAGGCGCCTGGACATGCCCTTGTGTCATCGCTCGAAAGGTGAGTCGCATCTCTTTTTACTCTCCCCCTCAGAAGGCGGCGGCCTTGAGGTAGCATATCATTGGACTGACCTACATCCTGAATTACCACAGTAATTCAGAGTTCAAAGTTCCTTACCGTCCGATTCCCACAGGACTCCAACTCAGGGCTGCTTACACGAGCGCATGAGGGCCACCGTTCAGCCACCCTGAACTGTGTCCAGTGTCACACACCTCCCGTTCCCTCATTCCTAACACATTTTACTCCCTCCGCCCGCCACCCCTCCTTTCCCCTCCTCCGCTGCATGACATTCTTGCCCGTAACCCTTATACCTTTTTCCTCCTCCCCCTCCCTACACCTCCCTCTATCCGTTGTCATCTGTTCAGCTGCGAGCGCATGAGTTAACCGTTCAGCCACCCGGAATTGTGTCCAGTGTCACACACCTCACGTTCCCTCATTCCAAACACATTTTACTGCCTCCCCCCGCACCCCTGCTTCCTCCGCAGCATCACACTCTAGCCCGTGACCCCTACCTTTTTCCTCCTCCCCCTCCCTACACCTCCCTCTGTCCGTTATCTGTCTCTTCAGCCTCTCATTCGTTTTACTTACAGTACTTATTCTTCACATCTTTCGCCTCCGTTTTCGTCTCGACTCCTACGCCACTTCAGCCCGTCACGATGCGCCAGCTGCTCTTTCTTGTCGCGCTCAAGACGAAGGATAAGACTAACACGTGGCGCGATCGGGGCGAGCTGTGTCTCCCGCCTTTCGCCGCATCTCGTTCGTCATCTACGCGCGGGAAAACGAGCAGGAAATTAAAACAAATATATAAATAATAAAATCTATACGTGGAAGGAGAGCTCAACTTATGTTTTTTTTCCTTCTGATAGTGGACTTGGACACAACGTGACTCCAGACAAACCACTACACGAGCCGCCTCCTTTTCCACGCACGGCCTTCATATCCATCTTCTCCATCTCCCTCAGTCAGTGTATAAGTCCTTTCTTTCCTTCCCTGCAGAAAGATAGGCACTTAGGGCCTCGCTCCACTACTTAACATTCGACAGGAACCTTGACTGATATCCGAACCAGATACTTTCGGACTGATCGAACATTTTGCAGGTACCGGAACCACTACCACATCCAAATACATGTCGAATCTTATGTCAGTGGAGCGCGGCCCTTATTCAATATCAGCATGAAGTAGTTCCTTTTCCCTTCTTCTCCTTTCTGTTGGGCAGAGCAAGAATAGACGCAAACAACTATACCCTCGATGGATGGCAGGGATAATGATAGTTTTCGGAACCGTTCTCAACAATTCAGACGCCTGACAAGCCGCGTAGGTTCTGTCACAAAAGAAGTACATAAAAGACTGATTAAAAAAGTAACAGGCCTGCCAAGCCGTAGGTTGTGTAACAAAAGTAGTACATAAAAGACTCATTAAAAAAGTAACAGGTTCGATTCTTGGATTCAACATGTACAGCCAACATATCAGACAACAACCTTAATAAGAAACAACAGCATGCGCATGTGACGTGACGAGAGTATACTATTCAATGCATCTCTTCTAATCGGATACATGTTCAAAAAGCAAGCGTTGGCCATATTGCTCTTCTCTCTCTCTCTCTCTCTCTCTCTCTCTCTCGCTCGCTCGCTCTCTCCCCCCCATGAAGTAGTTCAAGTTGTGGTCCAGGGAGGGGGAAACAAAAATGTGGCTAGAATCCCACCAACTTGGAATCATGCTGCTAAATTATGTGACAGCCCGTTCCCAAATTCTTCCACTAAACCAGCAACGTTTCCAAATCAGGTATAATGAGAAATTGAGCCCCTCTCAATTGGGAGAGAGGACAATTCTAATCCCCCCATATCATCACAAGCCCCCGCGAAGCGGCTTCTCATCCCGCATATCATCACAAGCCTCCGCGAAAAGGCTTCTCATCCCCCATATCATCACAAGCCTCCGCGAAGAGCCAGCACTGTATGTAATGCTGCTTTTTCAGTCCCACGTGAATAAGATACGACACATGCACGTGCACAAAGCTGCATCGACATGATGAACTTACTGTCTATACTACCAAACACCTCACAGCCTACACCTCTTTCCTATATCGCAGCAGTCGCAGTCTGAACTACACAACAGCGTGACAAAAGGCTACTACTCGTTCAAAACTTTTCCCTCGCGTTGCTCTCAAACCATCAGGCCAGAAGGAGCATCACCGACTGGGGAGCTCTTCGGCACTTAGGCTTTTCACAACCTCTCAGACTCTCAGTCACATCTTCAACTACACAACATCGTAATAAAGCCTATGACTCGTTCAAAACTTTCCCCTCTCGTCACTCTCAAACCATCAGGCCAGAAGGAGCACCGACTGGGGAGCTCTTCGGCTTCGGCTTCTCGACAATGATGGCCTGCGTCGTGAGTACCATGCCAGCAACAGACGCCGCATTCTGAAGCCCACACCTTGTGACCTTTGCAGGATCGATAACACCAGCCTGGAACAAGTCCTCAAACTTGTCGTCCATGGCATTATAACCCATCTCCCACTCACTCTCGAGAATCCTCTCGACGACAACTGCTCCCTCTACACCCGAGTTCTCAGCGATAAGTGAGGCAGGGGCAATCAATGCCTTCTGAACAATGTCGGCACCAAGCTTCTCCTCTGGATCCGCGATTGTCGCCTTGATCTCCGGGACCAACTGCGACAAGTGCACGAGAGCAGCCCCTCCTCCTGGCACGATTCCCTCCTCCACAGCGGCGAAGGTGGCATTCTTTGCGTCTTCTACTCGCAGCTTGCGATCCTCCAGCTCCGTCTCCGTTGCCGCGCCGACCTTGATCACAGCAACGCCACCCGACAGCTTAGCGATTCGCTCTGAGAGCTTCTCCGTGTCGTACACAGAGTCCGTCTCCGCAAGCTCCTTCTTTATCTGCGAAATCCTGGCCTGAATTTCGTCCTTCGATGCCGCATCAGCAATGATTGTCGTCGAGTTGTTGGTGATGGTCACCTTCCTTGCGATTCCAAGCATGTCAATCGTTGCCGTTTCCACGTTCAAACCCAGGTCTGCGGCGACAAACTCAGCACCAGTGACGATGGCGATATCTTGGAGAAGCGCCTTCCTCCTCTCGCCGAACCCCGGCGCCTTAACTGCTGCAACACTGATCACCCCGCGCAACTTATTCACGACGAGCGTGGCAAGAGCCTCTCCTGACACGTCCTCCGCGATGATTACCAATGGCTGACTAAGCTGCGTTGCCTTCTCAAGAACGGGGATGATCTCCTTAATGCTGGTTATCTTCTGATCAGTGACCAGCACACGGGCGTTCTCAAACTCCACTATCATCTTCTCTTGATTGGTCACAAACTGCGGCGAGATATAACCGCGATCAATCTCCATTCCTTCTTCGACGTTCACCGTTGTCTCGAAGGAAGACGACGATTCGATGGACAGAACACCATCGGGCCCGACCTTTTCGATGGCATTGGCAATCAATCCGCCAATGAAATCGTCATTTCCAGCGGAGATGGTCGCCACAGCCTTGATGTCTTCAGTTCCCTTCACCGGTCTCGCTTTCTCCTGAAGTTTCTCCACGAGAGCCGTCACTGTCTTGTCGATGCCCCGCTTTATGGCGACGGGATTGCCACCGGCCGTGACATTCATGAGCCCTAGTTTGATCATCTCCCGCGCCAGCACGCTTGCTGTGGTGGTCCCGTCGCCGGCAGAATCGTTGGTCTTGCTGGCCACCTCCCTGATGAGCGCTGCGCCGGCATTCTCCATGGGGTCCTTGAGTTCAATGGCGCGAGCAATCGTCACGCCATCATTGATGACCTTGGGGGCGCCGAAGTCTTCAAGAACAACGTTGCGGCCTCTTGGGCCTAGGGTAACTCCGACGGCATCCGCCAGCTGATCGATACCCCGCTGCATAGCAGCACGAGACTCTTGGTCGAAGCAAATCTCCTTCGCCTCCGCCCTGACGACTAAGCCATGCTGCTGACGACGGCTCTGCCTGCGGCAGACTTTAACCGGCAATTGGCGCGAAAGGTCTCGCGCACCCTGACTGAACCGAGCGCCATCTCCAAGAAGCGACGGCGCCGCGCTTCTGATCTGACAGCGGCATGAACCCTTCCGCTTCACCGACCCACCTTCGGCGGCGGCGGCAATACGCGACGAACAAGCCCCAGCTGCGCCGACAATGTGTCGAGAAACCAGTGAGTTGGCCGCCATGGTTCTTCCCCACTCACCTCTCTCCCAGCTGCTGCTGCTGCCACTCCGCCTGCTGATTGATTGATCTCCAGCCGGGCAAAGCGTCGAAAGTGCCGACGACTAAGTTGCGAACAGCGCAGAGAAGGAGACGAGCGAACAAGAGAGAGAGATGGAACAACCCTACTCCGCCAGGTCTGCAGAGAAGTCACGCCACTTACGGCACATCAGCGCCTCAGCCGCGCAGTCGCGAAAGCGGGAGTGATGCGCCGCTCCACCGCCTCGATGGAAAGCTCTGGAAATCAACTCCAAAGGCGTCAGTGCGCTTCCTTGGGAAGAAGAGTCTGGGCCTTGCTCGCTCGAGAGTGGCGGCGTCGCCCCACCAAGGGCCTCGCTCCACTATACTCTCCGAATGTGCAAAACGAGAGTGAATCTTCTGCTAAAACATAGAAAGATACGCAGCCATGATTCTTGCCGTTTCTGCATGTGGAGACTACCGGTAATGGAGCGATGCCCTAAGCCTCGAAAATGGAGAGGGGGGGGAGGATTTTTCAAGGGTTGTCAGAAAATTGCCCTTCCAGAACGATCTCGATAGTTCCAGAGATGCCACCTCAAGGCCGCGAAGTCCTATCTCCTTTTCTACCGGGAACTCCGGGCCAGTACTCGGCCATGATGGTAATTTCCCTGTGAACATTTCTGACCCCACGCCCGCTGGGTATGAGGATAATTATGGGCCTGCAGTGGTGGGTATAATCGCAATTTGGCCGATCAACCTCAGTCCCCCGCATGCCCATAATGTGATTGGGTATGTCCATAATCTGAGCATTCAATTTCGGACTACCGGTGGTTCAGTGGTTAGGGCACTGGTTGTCAATGCACACTGCGGTCTGAGGTTGCGGGTTCAAAACTCTGCCCCTCTCCGCAGAGACACCGGCCATAACGCACGGTCACTTGCATAGCCCCTTGGGCAGATGCAGGTAAGGTATTACAGACACTGCCTGCGCACCACCCAAGGGATCTTCCATGTTGTTGTATGTTGGGGCTAGACTATGATTGGTTTGCTTGCACACTTGGTCCAAGGGGTTGTCTGGATGCTTGCACACTTGTCCTTTACTGCTCAGACCACTCGTTACTGATAAGCATGAGGTTCAGGCTTAGAGGTTTGATACCCAAAAAAAGAATTCAGGAATAAACATCGTGGGGATGCAGACTACAGTCTTCCCCAGAACAAAATGCACCTGCGTTATTTAGGAATAGAACACATGGGGTACGTTGTATTCGTACACAATGCGTGCCTTATACTACGGACATAGGGTATCAACTTTCGGAAACATCCCCCACCCCCCACCCAAAAAAACAAAAAGTATATGCCTTGAACAGGTTCCTCCAGTCTTCCCGCAAACAGGACCTTCACGTAAGGCACAGAGACACGCACAGACAGACACAGAGACAGAGAAAGAGAGAGAGAGAGAGAGAGAGAGAGAGAGAGAGAGACTTTTTTTTTTTTTTTTTTTTTTGGAACGGAAGTTCCAATCTATTCGTGGGGAGCAGCACGTGCTGGAAACCAGGTCCAGCGTCCCATCAGGACATTTACAACTTCAAAGATCTTTTTTGGAGAAAATTTGAGAAGACCTCCCCTAGCAGCATTGATTACCCTGGAATCCAGGGGATTAACTGAGCAGGGAACGTCCTTTGATGGTAATGAGAATGAAAGAAAAACTAAGCGAAAGCCGAGGAGTAAACTCCAGGCTCAACAAGATAGATCAAACATGGAGAAACACGCAACCCCTGAAAAAGAACCAGAACAGTCCTGCCTCCGTCATCGAAAGGAAGAACCTCAAGCTGATCCGGGTGGAGTTAAGTGGCAAGTGGCCGGTACCCGCCGAGATACTCGGCGCCAATCGCATCCACCCCTACTTCCTCCATCCAAATCCCATCCGTCCTCCCAAACTCCGTTGTCGTGAAGAAATCCAGAGGACCTCATCTCAGCAGGGGGCGAGCACCATCTTCACCCTGAAATTCCTTGCCCCCACAAGAATTCCATTCTCCATCCTCAAGGAGGTGGACCAGCGCTACCCAACGCCACTCGCTGCAAAGTTCGCCCTCATCAGCCAGTGCAGCGGGCCTTCATCTGCCCTGGCCTACAGCCAGGGCCTATTTGGCTATTTGCCCAGTTCGGCCTGTGGGACCAGGCCGTGGCCTGACCCCACAGGCCGTGTCCTGTTCTAGTCCTGCCCGGTACCACTGTCGGTACCAGGCCAGTCCAGTCCAGTCAGTCAGTCCGCTGGGGGTATACCCCAGAAGTTGTCTGTTTTTCGGTATTCTTCAATTTGGAGATCTTGGAGTACGTGCGTGTGGAGTCTGCGTCGGAGCTGCGCTGTCCCTTCCAGCTCCATCTTTGTCTCCTCCTTCGTCCACCCTTCTCCTCCATCCTATCGGACCGCCATCCCGGCGGGTCCGGCACACTGGTATCAGAGCGGGAACGGTCCCCGCTCCAACCCGCCCTTCCCCCCGCATGCAACAGTGGGTGCGGGATCGGTGTAATCCCGAGAGCGGGATTTTCAGGCGTTTTTTGGTGCGGCGGCAGGGAAAAAAGAGGAAAAAGGCAGCAGCGGGAAGACATTGACACGTGGCGAAAAAGGAGAGTGTCACCACGCACAAGGCCAAGGCCGCCGCATGCGCGCGCGCGCCACGCTGCCCTACTGCCCCGCCCCGCTCCCGGATATATATTATCAAGATATCTGGGATGCTGCCAGTGACAGGGTTTGAACCTGGGCAGGCAGCACTCATGCGCATGTGTAGCCAGTGCTATAACACACTGGTCAAACTGTATGCATGGCTCTATAGTGTGGAACGTTAGTGTTGAACAGTTTCACACCAGCTATTT